TCAATGAAATCGGCGATCGTTCTATTCTAATGCACGATAATGCACACCCACATGTCGCCCGCATAGTGCAGACGTTCCTTCAACAGAACAATATTGAGGTTTTAGCCTGGCCAGCATGTTCTCCAGATTTGAACCCCATTGAGCATTTATGGGATAACCTCGGAAGACGAATAAGTGCGCGTGCAACACTTCCTGATACACTGCAGGACCTTGAAAGGTCTCTTCGGAAGGGATGGGCTATCCTCCAGCAAAGGGAGATTTCCCGACTGGTGGAAAGTATGCCGAGGCGTCTTCAAGAAGTAGTGAAGGCAAGAGGAGGAAACACACGCTACTAAACGATGATGTAATTAATTTATTTTAGAATAATAATGGTTCGTTTTTCAATTTTTTTTCTCTAATCTTTCTTACCCAATCACATTTTGATTATTAAAGGTAAAAAAGATTATAAAATTACATAAATACTAAGTATTATCTACAAATACCATGTATTATAAACAAATACAACTTCACAGAAATATTTTTAGATGAAAACATGGAAAAATCAAGTGGGTGGAATTTTTTTGCCTGTCAGTGTATTTATATATATATATATATATATATATATATATATATATATATATATATATATATATTAGAGAAAATAATGAACAAATAGAACTGAACTGAGAACTGTTTCTGTATTTGTTGCAAGAAGTTGTTTAAATTAAACAGCTTTCTTTATATGCTTCAGAAAACTGTTTACGTATCTATTGCAAGAAACTGTATAAAGGAAACTGGTTTCTGTATCTGTTTAAATTAAACAGCTTCCGTAGCTGTTTCAATTAAACAGATTCAGTGCTTCCTTCTTTTCCCGTTGATATCGCTGTCTCCAACTACTAACTACAGTGGCTTAATAATACAGTGTGGTAATACCGATGTGGCAGCCATATTTGGAAGAAACAAAACTTTAAATAAATGTAAATTATTCAATGTAAATTTAATAAATATAAATTATTATATGTAAATTTAATGAAAACAAATTATTTAATAAATATAAACTATTTACTGTAAATATAAATTATTTAATTAATATACATTATTTAATGTAAATTTAATAAATATAATTTATTTATTTTTACTTTGTTACTTGTGACTAAACACTTGTGTTGCCCAAATGCGAGACAAAGACGAGTCTTGGTCTTGGTCTTGTCAAGTCTCGCAACAGTCTTGCAGTTAACTATTAGCATATTATTATAGAGATATTACTGCAATTTTTCAGATATGGAAAACCTAAATTAGACCGAATGAAAAATTGAGAGTTAAGTACCAAAGGGTATTGGTTATACCAATTCTTTACATATGGTAAGAGGGAGCTTAACAATCGGTGTTCTTTTCAATTGTGTAAAATTTTAAGTGGTGCTATTACAGTTTTATTAACTGTCACAAAAACATTTTCAGTGCTCTTAATATTAATTGCTGTAGAGATTAATATTTAATATAACATACATAATTGTAATATTAAACTATTAATACCTAATAAACATTACAAGATAAGAAAACAATTGAATTGTGATAGCGTAAGATAAGGTGCTTAACCACACTACGTCTACAGCTCCCCATAATCTCTACCGGTATCTATTCTATAATTATTATTATCTAGTCAATCAGTTGCTCACGATGACTCTGTGTCATAAATGCAACAGTAACATTGGCAGAGAGGATAAATTTACATTAGTTTGCAGTACATGCAAATTAATATATCACAAGAAATGTATCTATGTCTCTGATTCCGATGTACAGCAGCAATTTAAAAAAAGACTTGGTTCTGTACGTCATAGTAAACAAGATACAAAGGCATCACACACCTCTAAAATCTCGTATCTTTAGATGTACTCCTGCTCCTTGGGTCAATACAGAAATAAGACAACTAACGAGGAGAAGAGAGGCTGTTAGAAAATGCTACAGACGTACTCGACTGCCTCAGCATTATTCGACATTTAAATTCCTATGAAACCTCACACACACATGTGCCTACGCCAAAGCCCAATACCTTAATAACGTTTTATCCCAACTCTAAATCCAAATGAACAATCCTTAAGAACCTCTCCGTTGATAGCTAGAAAACCTGCACACAGTATCCAGTCGATCCAAACAAGCTAAATTCCTTTTTCACCTCTCAGCCAAATCCAAAATGAACAATTACGGTCCTGATCTAATACCTGTTAAAGTAATCCCCCTCCCTCTCTGCCTTTCAGCCTTACTTCCCACACTTCAACATATAAAATTTCTCTCTAAAATTCCATTTTTCCCAAATCCTGGAAAAGAGCCATAGTCGCTCCATTGAAAAAAGTTCCTACTCCTTCATCAGCATCCAACTTCTGGCCCATCTCCATTATATCCAATCTATCCAAGCCCCCAGAAAGTTTAGTTCACTCTCTGTTCCCATTATTCCATCCAGTCCGCCTTGCTAAGGATTACTCAAGACCTCCAATCCTCCATAGGTAAGCAGAAAATCTCCATCCTTTTAGACTTTTCTAAAGGGTTTGATTCTGTTAATCATGATATCCTTCTTTCCAAACACCAAAGTCTACCCATACCAAATAGTGTCCTAAATTGGTTCCTCTCCTTCTTATCCAATCGATCTCAGACAGTTGTAATTCCGAACAAACCTCCATTGTCACCCCCTTCAACTAACACGGGGTGTTCCTCACTCTCTCCAACCTTTTTCTGTATTTATATTAGTGGCCTTCCTGATGCCATTCAGCACTCCTGATACCACCTATATGGTGGCGATTTCCAAATTTACCAATCATTCCAACCTTCTGAGAAGTTAAATCTACCCCTTTGACTGAGGTAGCTCATTCA